TTAATATTAATCACTCAATATATTTGTCGGTTCTGCAATATACATACAGAGATTTGTATGACTAAGAGATAACTTCGATAAAATTCAGATCATTCTGATTGATTTTAGTTTCATCATTTTTTGGCAAGTTTAAAGCTAATTGAAAGAAATTTAATAAGAAGAAAATGAGATTCCCGCTCATTTAGTGCAGGCGAATAGGAAAACCAATTTAATGACCGGCAAGATCGACAGACTTGAATCATTTGAATTATTTAACTGAATATATGACAATCAAACATTTTTTGAAACTAGTACGGCGGAAGATTTTACAATATAATTCGGATGAATGAGAAGACGATAACTAGAATAACTAATAAAACAACAGAACGAGAGTCAAAAGTGTCAAAAGAATAACTTAGGTAATATATGTAAGTTGTATTAGTGACCAACCTCAAGACGCGACGTGTGCATCCTCCGACTGAAAATCTCATGTTTTTTAATTTTAAACAACAAATATCGGGCTAACTATCTACACTCGTTTGGTACATTTTAGTATAAAGATTGACTCTGCCCTTGTTCATTTCCAGTTGTAGCACTGCTAATTTTACATCTGGGCTGTAGGGTCGTGAATTGCTCGCTCCCAACGCTTAATTTGCTGAGGCACAAATGAACATTTTCGAAATTCCAAAAGCGTGTCCCTGTACTGAATTAATCAGTACCTCGAAATTCGAAATGTAGGCATTTATCGTACGTTCAGCTAAACAAAGCCGATCGGCGATGTTCCACTGGAACATAAGCGCTTTATAGTTCCCATCTTCAAATGCTCAGCAGCCGAAAATTGGGAAATAGCAAGAAGGTTTAAAGGCTATTTTCACATAAGAACAGCCATAAGGATTTAGTGGCGATCATGACCTATCAGTCGACTACAACTTAAGCTGGCAAAGATTCTAATGACTTAAAGCTAGATTAGATTGCAAGTGATTGAGTGATGATACGGATCTAATGAAACAGTAACTGTTAATTGCAAGAAGCAAAATAGGCCGTTTGTATAACAGTATAGTCAGAGGTTTTTGTGAAGGAGGAGTTTCGTTTTTTTTATAAATGTTAAAAAGCTGAATTTTAAAATTGAAAAGTTGGTCTTTGAACGCAATTTACATCAATTTAACCGACATTTTTGAAGTTGAAGACAAACGTACAAAATTATTTTTCCACTCGAACAATTGTAGATATTTATTACTAGTTTATAGCCAATATATAATTTCTGAGTAACTCCCATTACGATCAAAAAACGAACATTTCAACAGAACAACCTACTGAATTTTGAAATAATTAAAATAATATGATTCAAAGCAAACCATATTTGTGGACAAGCGATTATTTCAAGCATTCACAAAATATTGTCAACCCGACTCCAAACCGAAAGGTCTGCTTAAACGCCTTTTCAAAACTTCGATAAGCTTCTGCCAATATGTGCGAGCTTATGTTTTCGAAAGGTTTCCTATGCGTTCCCGCATACTATGTGCCGTTTGGCGTTTGTTGAGGTCTATTATATTGAAGGATTAATGTAAAAAATGTCTTATAAAAATGTTACAATAAACAAAATCAATTGTATTGATATTGACAAATTATGTGAACTTATACGTTTTATTTTATTATGTGAAAATTTTACGAACCTGAACCAATAAACTTACATATAAGGAATATGTTAAATTATCTTATTTCCATTAAAAAAAAAACCGACAAGAACTTTGCGTCATTGAATTTAATCAATTTTATTTCTCACTTTTCAAAAATGTTACTCTCACATTATGATTTATGGATATTTCTATCTGTTCTATACCAAATTATTAAAATAAGAAAATCTTTGCCATTACGATGTATTTTAACATTCTATTTTTAGATTTTATTAACAAGACTATTATAAAAAAGTCAAATGCTCAAAAAGTAATCCTAAAATTAAAGCAGTATCACTGGTCACAACATAAGAAGGCAAGAGGAAAGTAATCCGGAGCGGAATAAACACAATTACAATACGCGATTTTCGGCTTAGAGACATTTTATCTGCCATTTTCTCACGACTATACTTCTAATCTTAATGATGAAACTTTAGCTTTTAACACTATGGAGATAAAAGGTTGTACTTACAACGCTTGGGGAAGTTGCGGAAATAGTTTCAGATTGCTGATATTCTATGTAGCTCTCGTTTGAAATAAATTTACTCATAGTGTAATGTGTGTGATTTATCCTATTTAGACTCATATAAAAGAATCAGAGTAGACATTAAAAAATTAGCTAAAATAAGTTCAAAAATATTGAATTACAATCTAAAGCATATTTTTTTCGTTCTATCGAAATACCGCTTCATTTAAAGAAAAAATGTGAATATTGAAGACCTATTCGCTTAGTGATAAATAGACCCTGAAAATGATCGGCACGTCCCAAATTTGCCTAAATATTCCTAAACATCTTGTAGGGCTTGCCGTTAACCCTTAAAATGTCCACACTTCTGCCTCCTCTGCATATTAACATGTTCAAGCCAGAAAAGGTCCAATTTATCGTTAATGGGAAAAGCCTAATTGAAAGCTATTAAACTTATAGTTACCGGCTAAAAGTTATGTTTGGAGTGGCCAATTTTGTTGGTCCTTTTTACTACCCTTTAACCGGTCAAATAATCGTGCTTTGAGCGGTCTGTCTATGAATTATTGATTCCTGGCTCAAAAACGACTTTTACAGGGTCAGCAGTTGAAATTCAATATAACTGTTTGTGCTAGCTAGCTGTTTGCGCGTCTGTTTTTGATCGAAATATTTCCGTTTTATAATGCTTTTTATTCGCGACGAGCATCTGAGTAATTGAGCAAAAAATGTGCTTCATGTCATCCTTTTCCATATTAAACGTTCAGAAATTGTTTGCAGAAGAAGTCGCTTTTATCTAGCTGAGTTAATACAAAAAAAAAATGGTTTAACACGCGTGGCTGATAGCGTTGGAACAAAAATATATGTTGTTCGACATTTTGAAAGTTGAAAATCTTTTGTTTTGTATTAAACTAATCGATTTGTGTGCGTTCTGCAAATAGGTTTTGTTAAATTCTATATGATTTCCTTCAACCCTAAGTGCTGTTCTAGATCTAAATGCTATATAACGACGTCTGGTTTTTATTGTTTTTCATGTTTAGAATGTATTAAATAAGTATCTATAAAATATTTAACTTCACAGTCAACTTTTATAACCACTAAATTTGGAAATGAAATTTTATCTCTGACTGTTTAGCGTCAACAAATAAAACTTATGAAGTTGTCATAGACCAATAGCTAATAAAAGATTTTATTCAATAATTTAATTATTCTTCTCCGTCGCTCATCTCTAAAATTATGTTTTCAATTATGTGTACCTCATTTAGAGTAAATTCAATTATCAGATTGT